AAGGAAAGCAATAGAGAAAAATCACACCAAAACCCTCTACCTCTCAGAATAACTTTCATAAAACATAGATTATGTGGTATATAACTATAGTATTTCTTACAGCTACATATTTTACAAAACAAATACAATAAAACTAAATTCGAATAATTTTTATTCAGCAATCTTACCTTTTGTTGGACTGAGATTCTGATCTATAAATCCTCTTAGTTCTGCATTTGTGGAAGTCAAACCAACCTGAATAAAACAGTTTAAAAAATTAATACTAGGATAACAAGCTATTTTATACCTTCTACCAGAAATCCAAATCAAATATTCTAAATAGCTATGTGAAATGAATTATATTAACCATAGGGAGTTATAATTTTTGGATGGGGGGCACAGTGGTATTGTGGATTAAACCCAAAGACTTACACATGCTGGGCAAGTGTTCTATCACTGAGCTATATCTCTAGCCCTACTTAGTCTGAGACAGAGTCTTGCTAAATTGCTGAAGCTGACCTCAAACTTAAAATCCTCCTGCCTCAGCCTCCCAAGTAGCTGGGATTGTAGGTGAAAACCACTTTGCCCACTTTTCATATTATAAAAGAAAATGTGGTCATATTTCTTGAAATGAGGAAAATATGATATGTTCAAATTAAAATTAATAAAATACTGGACCAAGGGAATAGCTCAATAATAGAGAAATTCTCAAGCATGTGTGAGGCTTTTGGTTCAGTCCCCAGGAGAGCCCAAAATGACAATAATCATCATCATCATGAAATATTACTTGTACACAGAACCATACTCTATCAATTTTACTAATAATTTTTTGTTGTTGTTTTTGGTACTGGGGACTGAATCCAGAGGTACTCTGCCACTGAATTATATGCCTAGTTCTTTTTATTTTTTGACAAGGTCTTACTAAGTTGATAAGGCTGGCCTTAAAACTGTGATTCTCTGGTCTCAACCTCCTGAGTCCCTGAGATTGCTAAAATTACAGGTGTGTGCTACCATGCCAAGTCCCTGTTAGGGAGAGTTTTCTGAAAACAAGTACTGTGACAGCTCAAATTGCTATCAAATTAGTGAAGGTACCAAAGATTAATTCAAATTCCATCATAAGCCTGGGAACATAGCTCAGTGGTACAGTACTTGCCTACCATGCACAAGGCCCTGGGTTTGATCCTCAGACCTGAGGGAGGGAAATTCTATCATTGGGACTAGGTGGTAGAGCACTTGCCTAGCATGTGCAAGGTGCTGGGTTAAATTTCCAGCACCAAAAAATAAAAAATAAATAAAAAGCCCATCCTGATTGATGCCTTTTTTTTTTTTTAGCTGTAGGTGGACCCAATACCTTTATTTCATTTGTTTATTTTTATGTGGTGCTGGGGATCAAACCTAGTGCCTCATGCATGCTAAGTAAGCACACTACCACTGAACCACAACCCCAGCCCCATGCCCTTAATTTTTAATGTTCTTAATCAGTATCTACAATGCTTTTCAAAACTATGATATGTAAGGGGCTGGGGTTGTGGCTCAGAGGTAGCGCTCTTACTTAGCATGCGTCAAACACTAGGTTCCATTCTCAGCACTGCATATAAATAAAATAAAGGTACATTGACAACTAAAATAAATTTTATATATATATAAGAAAGAAAGAAAGAAAGAAAGAAAGAAAGAAAGAAAAGAAAGAAAGAAAGAAAGAAAGAAAGAAAGAAAGAAAGAAAGAAAGAAAGAAAGAAAGAAAGAAAGAAAACCATGACATATAAGGGATCATTATCACAATGCAAAAGTAAAGTGGACTGGCCTCATGTTCAATTACTTGGGTCCACACTGTGGCTCATAAAGCCTACTAGGTGTATGGCCTTGGTCAATTCATGCAATTTCTTTATCTACAAATTGAAAGGGGCCTGAAGACTGGGAGGGGTTCCTTCTGGCCAAAGCAATTAACTCAATCTGAATCAAGGACACAATTTCTGGCTCAAGGACACAATTTCTACCTACATTAGCTCAAAGGAAGCAAGTCTCCGTCTACACTGTCTGAAGACAAGTGAGTCCCCACCTATACTGGCTCAAGGTGCACAGCATCTGCACTGAATAGGAGAAGGAGGCCCGTAGTCCAGGCCTTGGAGAGGATGTCTGCTGGGCTCCTGCCCTAAGATCTCCTTTTTCTCTCTTTTTTTAATTTGCCTTTTGTCTTCTTAATCTTTGGAACATCAATTTTATTATGCAATCTGAGAGAAACAGAAATTTATTAAGCACCATCTCAGAAGGATGAAAGAAAGAACAGGGATGAGTCAGGCAGGGTGAAGTGTCCCAAGGAAAAGTCTCTGCTGTCTCTCACTGATGAGGGCAGAGGAGGCTCCTGGTGGAGCAGAGGTGCACTCCTGGCTGGAATGTGGGAAGCCTGAGCCAGCTGACACACTTCATTCCTGCAGCTGTTTGAGTGCATGCTTGACCAATATCCACACCATGTCAGGACCCACAGAACTCAGGGTCTTCTGAATATCCATTGGTCTGTCTGTCTCAGCTCTGTGTATTCACTGGAACCACTATATCTGAATCTAGCATGTTTGTGTCCTCTTTCCACTTGAGCCACAAGACACAAGACAACTGCTGAATGCAGGAGGCAATCCTCCTTACCACTTCTTGATAGTGCCATGGGATTGCCCTGTGGAGGTACCTTGGGAGGACATGCTGCCATCTTCTGTGACCCATCTACTGAGGATCAGCCAGGGGTTGGGTCTGTCGGATATAGGGGCATGCTAGGAGCCTATGCTGCCAGTGAGGGTCCTTGCATGCAGAAAGTGGAAACAATGGCAAGCATACTGACACACCCACCACCCTTCTGCCCTGACTGCTTGGCCTCCTTAGGCAGCTGCTGCTAACAGGACAGGGAGAAGGTGAGAAGGGCAGACTCAATGGCACTCCTCTTTGGTTGGACATTGGAAGGATCCACAGGGCCTAGACAAGGCCAAAGCCCCTGATGCACAGGCTTCACCTGGAATGTGCAGCTTGCCCCTGGTGCTGGAGTATCAGGGGCTTGGGCCTCCAATTTTTGAACATCCAGGTATCATAAGGGTCATAACCCATATCAAAGATGGCTGTTATGATTGCAGGGTCCAGGTGTTTGGGAAGTGGCTCACTAGAATGATTGGGTAAATACTCTCCATCTTGGCTTAGCCATGGGTACCCCATTATCTGCACCCCTGTGGACCTCTGCACGGGGTCCACCATCAGTATTTGACTGATGAGGCTTTGTGCTCCCTCAGAAACGTGCAGAAATACTGTGCTTGCACTATCTGCACTAGCTTCTTGCTCTAAATGGGCACCTCCTTGTGACCATAGAATATAGAAGGACACCTAGACTCCAAATGCTCATGGGGGTGGGGGCTTAAGATTCTTTCCATAGGACAACTTCAGGGGCAAAATGCAAGCAACTGCCCCAGAACTTGTTCAGCTTCAGACTAGAAATGACCCTGGTGCTCAGGCTGAAGTGGATGAGTTTGACGTTGCCTCTGGAATCCACCAGGATGTTATCCACTTTCAGGACTAGGTGCATGATGCCTTTCTCGTGGCAGTAAGACACAGCACTTGCGATCTGCCTTAATGATCTATGGATCTCCTCCTCCTGAATGCCACTGGCATTCATCTATCCCAGATCTGCATGTTCCATGACAATGTAGATATTGTCAATGGTCTCCATGACCTGAAAGAGCTAGATCATTTTTCTCTTCTTTTTTCATAACACTTAAGAACTAATTAATTCATTTTTTGTAATTCAAATGCTCTACTAGCAACAGTTTCTTTTTTTCTTTCCTTTTTTTAGTTGTAGATGGACACAATACCTTTATTTTGTTTTATTTTTATGTTGTGCTGGGGATCGAACCCAGTGCCTCACACATGCTAGGCAAACACTCTACCACTGAGCCACAACCCTGGCCCTAACAATAGTTTCTTTTCACCCAGAGGTATATTATCAGAAATATTTCTACATATAAATGGTATTTAATATACCAAATTTTTATGATACAGCTTAGACTAAGACGTCTAGAAAAGAGCTTCTGAATTCTATACAGACAATGGTACAGACACTTTTTCCTGTAAGTATTCAGTTGAAGTAAAGCTAACCCTTTGCAACAAAATCTGCAATAAATGAATCCCAGCAACACAGGATGCTGAGGCAGGAGGATTGAAAGTTAGAGGCCAGTCTTAGCAACTTTAACAAGACTTTCAGAAAAATTCAGCAACTTCAGCAACTTAGAGATCCTGTCTCAAAGTTAAAAATACAAGGGACTGGGGATGGGGATGAAGCTCAGGGGTAAAGCAACCCAGGCTTCAATCCCCATACCAAAACAAAATTGCTCACAAACAGTAATGTTAAATATTCAATCTGTTGAACATCTGTTGAAGAGTGTAGTGTATAAATACTAACATGCCCTCTTTTATAAACTCTTCTATGAAGAAAGAAAGGCAAAACTTTTCTGTGTTCTACTTTTAAAATAAAGTAATTAATACTAAAAAAGACTTTAATATATTCATTCCATGGGCTGACGTTGTAGTTCAGTCACAGAGCACTTGCCAAGCACACATGAGGCACTGACTTTGATCCTCTGATCCACATTAAAAAATAAACAAATGAATAAAATAAAGGTATTGTGTCCATCTAGAACTCATATATATGTACATATATATATTCATTCCATGCTTGATACAACATGATCATTTACTACTATATTATAATAACTTCAAAAGGATCAGTTTATACCTTTTTGTTATTGTATGACAATAATGGCAAAAAAAAAAAAAAACCTCAATTAAAACCACACATTCTCAGTAGAGAGCTCACAGTTACTGGGTTACCGTTATGCTTAAACACCTGCTCTTCATAACCAACTTCTGTATAGTGAAGTAGCAAGTGATTCATAAACTTTTTGAGCAGTTGTACACCTGCACTTTAATAATCAAATTATACTCTAAAAATTTAGAAAAAGGTCAACTGAAAGTCAATATTGCATCCTAATTTTGGAATCACAAATGGAGGAAACATGTCTGTAGCTAATGCTTATATAAATACTACCAAAATCTGTTTAGTAAAAACTTCAAAATATGTATTAATTTCTGCTTTCATAAATTGTAGTTTAAAGACTCAAAGAAAATACATTTGAAAGAAGAAAAAGTTGGTTAAAAAAGGCATGTTAAAAATATTATTCTTGGGCTGGGGATGTAGCTCAAATGATAGCGTGCTTGCCTGGCAT